CATTGTCGGTCTTTAATTAATTTATGATTTATATACAGTATTGAAATTAAGTTTTTGTAAAAGTAGGGATGGAAATGTTTAGTAGAAAGAAAAAAGTTTAAGTATAGCATTATCTATATATGATGGTTATATGTCGATGTGAACTCTATGATGATTTAGTAAATGATGGGCTACTTCATTCATGAGAATATTATTCAGTATTTTTATTATGACCATTTTCCTACGTATATGTGGGTTATAATGATCGTGAAGTTGAAGGAGTTTTAATGGATTTGTATCGTGGAAATCTTTTCTTTTATGATGAAATCAGTCGTATATTAAAATAATTTTAATCAAAGTGATTCTGCTAAAAGTGAAGCAAATAATAATAGTTGAAATCTATTTTTGAATTGGTTTGCTTTTCTAATTAGAATTAAATGAGTTAATATTGATAAGCGACCCTTGATTAGAATCGCATGCGCACGGAGACATGCTCAAGCAAGCGTAGTGGAGTAAATTGCAGAGTGCAAGCACGTGTATTAAAAATGATCATTCTATTAGTTAACCCCCTTCCATTCCATTGCAATCGGAATTAGCATTTCAAGAGATATTTGAGAATATGCAGAACATTTCATATCAAACAACTCTTTTGCACAATATGTGCAGAAAATTCCCTAAGCTATCAACGGTCAAACAAAAAGTTTTGTATACTCGCTATATTTTTAAGATATATGATTTACAAAGTTAATGATTGTAAAATTACTAAAAATGGACCTCTTCTTTGTAAACTGTCTTTTTTTTTACCTACGAGAAATAGTTATCTTGATGATGTGCTGCTTGATAAATATCGATGAAAGTTGTTGCTGTCGAATAAAATGAGTTGAAAAAATTTTAGACAAATTATTTGAAGAAGAGAGTATGGGTGTGGGTGTGAATGTGGGTGTAGGTGTGGGTGTACTTGTGTCCGATGCTCACACCCACACCCTAAACTTCTATTTGGATGTTTTTTTTTATTTCAGCAAAGCATAGGATTATTTTTGTGACGTATTTCATGCATTGATGTATATTTTTAAAACGTTCTAAATTACTATGCATTAATGGCCTTGTTTGTGTGTAATTTTCAAGATGCGGAGATGAATTATCCATGACGTTGACGAAATGTGAAAAACTCTCCCACATAGTTTCCACGTTTTTAATATTACTATGTACTTAAGTGTGTGTTATAGTTGTGTTAGCGATGTGTCGTGTACTTTCGCATTCTGCGCAGTAAAGTACGATGGTCTTTTCGTTACGCACGCAGCCAATAACAAAAAAAGTCGGTTGGAAGAAAAAACATTGCCAGACTTGAAAATTTGAAAGAGAATAATCAACACTGTTTACCAAGCTTGAATGTTGCCATTCTCCCTTTTGAATAAACATTTTCATTCTGCAACTCGAAAGTTTCATTAGCAGAAAGAAAAATAATTGGTTTTGTTTTTATTTTTGTATATCCAAGTAGAAATAGCAGGTTTCAACACAGAAACATTTCTTATTTCTGTGGCGTGAATCAAGCCCCAACAAACGTCAGATACATAAGTTGCTTTAGTTTTGTTGATGCCATACTTAGAGAGACATCTTGTTAAAGTAGAATATTGATAGAAAGATGAGTCGATTCTTAGACATTCAGATCGGTAACAAAAAGTTCCCTCTTACTGATGCCTTCTAGCAACATTCTCTCTCCGCTTTTGAACTAGCTTTGCAACCTGTTATGTTTCGTTTCGATCAGTTAGATCGATCTATCGAAGAAGCAAAAGAATGTCGCTGTTATCCATCAAAAGATCAGCTGATACGGGATGGGCGTGGGTGTGGGGTGTGATGGGTGGATGTGGATGGCGGGTATGGGTTTGTGGGAGTGTGTGAGTGTGAGGGTGGGGATGTGGTGCATGGGGATATATGTGGGTAAAGAGTAGGCAACACCCATTCACACTCGCATCCACATCCACACCTCAAACCCTACTCACATCCACACCCACACATCCACCCTATAGTTATTCAACCATATATTGAATTATCCAAAGATGTAAACAATTTAAAACAACAAAAGATTTACTAAGGACTGGCCGTTCACGTAAACTAGAGTGTGGGTGTGGGTGAGGGTACAAGAAGAGAATAACAACACCCATACGCACCCTCTAGTTTACGTGAACGGTCAGTCCTTAGTAAATCTTTTGTTGTTTTAAATTGTTTGCATCTTTGGATAATTCAATATATGGTTGAATACCTATAACCTTTTTTCTTAAGAAAATTACAGACGGCTTTTAAGCTGCCATCAGCAGCGTCTTCATAAAAAATTGAAATGCGAATCTTAGGGCTTCTCTTTCGTTCTTTTTCATCTGAAGAAAAAAGAACAAATAAGCATTGAAAAGTATATGTATATGTACTTTAGACTATGCTCTTTCTAATAAAAAATAAAAAATAAAACTTTAATGATGCTGTTTTGCAGAGCAATAACAAAAAACAAAGTTACTGCAAAACTTTTGCACCACCCGTTATTATCAATAGACGGCATGGGTATTGAAAAATGTTCCTTGCATTACATTCTTTTTGTTTTTATTATTGATCAGTCGAAAGCAATAAGTTTGAAAATCTAGTATAAGATGAATGAATTGTCAAGAAATATCATACTGCTCTGATTAATAGTGACGATACATTCTAAAAACTAGATTAGTCATGAGGGTTGTAATGGACGTTATAGACTAATTCTGAGTTGCGCTGAAGATATTTCAGGCTAATCGGGTCACTTGTCGTCGGTCAGTTTTCAATTGTCTATGAAATGTAAGAACGCCTTTTTTCCATCTGGAGTATTTAAACTAATGTTGGTTGTTTAATTAGCCATAGTCTGGCATCACGACACCCGTCTGGTGTTTGAATCCACCCGTTGACATCTTTTTTTTCATTCTTTTTTGTTTTACGGACTAGTCTGAACGGGTTAGATGGATGAATGTAGGTGTGGATAATATCATTATGCACGCCCAAATTCACTCCCGCTTCGCCATTACTTGCATGCCAACCTATTCTTCATTGTGTTCACAATTTTTTACCTAATAACTTCGATTATACAAATTAATTAAATACACACTATCTCAAAAAAAAACATTTGTATGATAAAAGTTACGGCATTCCTGAGCTTTCTGTTTTTGTGAAGCTTTTTACAGGACTAAACTGTAAAAAGACAATCTTTTATTATTGTATTAATGAGTTTCAGTAGCGGCACTTGTAAGCCATGATACACGTTTGGCCATCCCGACATCAGACACTAATCATTAGTTGTAGAAAAAATGTACACGCATCTAACAGCAATCGTAGGCAATTACAGCAAGTTTTATGACTTCATAGGATTTCAAACATCAACGAAATCATCCTGCTAATGTACGAAGTTGTCCGTACATATTCTTGAGTATTCTAAACTATTCTAATCTATTCGCATCCATTCGAATGGCTCCGAATGAGATTTTTCCCCAGTATCTGTTATTTTAAAAAATTAAGTAAATTTTCGCACATTAGGATTTTTTACTCGGGAATTTAAACATTGAGAATGAATGATGATGTAATTTGCCTTTTCATACACATTCCCACACCCACGTCCATACTCAAACCTCTATAGAATGATAAATGGGCCAATTGAACAAAGCATTTGACATGTATTATTGCATGTTGTAATATCCTATTGGATTTTTCGGTAAACAACAGACAGAAAAATAGTTTTTTTCTATTTTATAGATCGCACAGCTGTTTTTCAACAAATTTGTTTACTTATATTTGCGACCTTTGACTTGAGGAATTCGATCGCATACTGTAGAAAATTTGTTCTTTTAATGCTGCTATGTCAAAAATTATAAAAGTTAAGTTTAATTCAAAGATTAAATGTTACCCCTATCCAACAGCAACGATCAAAGACTTTTTAAATGTTCTACGCGCCAATTTTAATATAGATACAAATGCAATATAAACCTTACTTTATGAAAATGAAGAACTGTCAACAACACAATAAAACTTCAAACAGTATCACGACAAGTGTTTGAATTTCATTTCGACAATCATGCCACTTTAAAAGATTTATATGACAATATTTCTACGAAAATAGATTGTACAACAACACATCCTCTTTTATTCAATCATCGTATGCACATATTTCGCTCCAAAAAGTTTTTGACAGAATTACTCATTAATTTCTTACCTTTGACTACCATTAATGATGGAAAAATTCCACACTTCTATTTATTTGAAAGTGAGCGTACATTTGAAACGCGTATATATGACTATATGAAAAATCTCAAGGATATATTTCTTGAAAGTGATTTATGGCAGCCTAGATCTGGACCGCAAAATAAACTAGCGATGTCGATTTATTTGAATACGATGTTTGCTCTGGTCAGAGTATTTTTAACCCAAAAAGACGCCGATTATGATAGTGTTCATAATGTTTATATGCCCCAGTTTCTGATCGTTCTTCGTCGATTTCTGTTTTCACCAGCTTGTCTTGCATTTAAACATGCTATGGAAGGTGCTTTATTCGACTTCGAAAAACTACTACTAAGTGAAGCATTCTTTCATTTATTTCATACTCCGCTGCCTGAATATATTCCTGATTCTGAGTTGTTCTCTTATACACCACATGTAATGTGTTGGATATTTAGTAAAGGAGACTATTCTTCAATGGAAAATTCTTGCTATGAAAGTGTCGAACTCGTCAGACGTTTAAATATTTCAATTAATGCCGGTGCTCAAGAAGAATCCACATCTTACAAGTACTATGTCGAACCTGTGAGACTGCTTAACAATAAAATAGTTAATGATGCCGATGAGCGTTTTGTATTAAGGGAATATGATGATGTACGACCCATCGCCAGTTTGACAGAAAACGATTATCAGCGACAAACAGATCTTATTGGATTGTTGATGGTTTTGAAGTATTTAAAAACAAATCGGGAAAATGATGAGTCATCAGATGAGGAAAGCGTATCTGAAGTAAGTTCAAACAATTATACATTATGAGTACCAAATATCAAGACTGATTTGTTGACTATTGGTAATGTTTCTGAACAAAAACATAATATGAAATGTTTCTCTGACAATGATCTCGAAGATATAAAACAGAAATTATCTACAAATGATTCGTTTAGTATATTTACATTCGCTGACCCATCATCATTATCCAAATATAATCATGCCCAATTCCTTCTGCTTCAATCTGATTGTGTCGTTTATATTACGAGTATAGCTAAAAATAACGAAGATTTATTCAATTGCTTCGATCCTTGGAAACAGAAACAAAGCGTCTGTAAAACTGATACTGTATCAAAAAAAGTTCTTGATCAGCGACCATATATTGTCGTAAGAGAAAATGCAGCTGATATAAGAAAAATCGAACAAATCACTTGTGTACTTTTCGATATTAGTGGATCAATGCATGTAATGGTTGATGATGAAGAGAATAAACAAACTTTATTAGAATTGACTAATACATTCACATAAATAGATAACACTAAAACGGATCGAAACAACTTGCGACCAACCCAGCCTGTGTAAGTCAATTATAATTCCAAAAATTCAATAACATCAAAATATTTAGGCGTATTCAAAACGATCATCGTAAGTAGCTCGGAATTCATTCATCTTAAACTCACTCTCAAGACCTTTGAGCAAGATCAAAACGTATCGTGGCAGCTCATAAAAATTCTTCAAAATTCTATATTGAATTTCGTTGAATTTGGTTTTAATAATCTCGCTCATCATCAACAGCTCAACATTGTTAGCATATCATGATATACGATCACATTATATCATTACTCCCAAAAATGTCTTGTTTAACAATCGACTTGTAAACTTAAAATAGTAATAATGCTTAATTGATAAACACATACATCGTTGGAGGAAACGTGATCTCACCGCTCGTAATGATGATACGCTCATACATTATAAACAACTAATAATAATTATTCAATGATAATTATGTATATAATTAATAGTTCAGCTAATGCCACTTCTCTCTACAATACTTTAACTCATTATTACTTTTGAAATATATGAATTTAAACACGATGCAAATATATTTCTCATTTATTAATTTTGATCATCAACAACAGGTATTATTATTTATTTTCACACTTTCCATCGAATTCTAGTACTTTTTATCGAAATTGCAATCATGGTAGCTCATAATCACCACTGAAAATAAATCTGCCATTGTTACTAGTCCTTATTTTAGATTAGAAATAATAGAGCAGCCTATGATAAAACAAATATTTTTCAAGTAAAAAAGTTGAATTTTTTAACTAAAATTTAGAAAATAATTATTATTCAAACATCTATAAGAACTAAAAACTAAAAAACTAAAAATTTTGTTGAACTATTGATTTTCATGCAATTTAAGAAGCAAATATAAAGAATAGTTAATAGTTGATTAAAACTTCATCATGTCGATCACAGTTCGTCATTTATCAACATCTTTCTCTGTTTGTCATCGGTCTTATTGATTAATTTTTCCAGTTTCTTCACCCGAATAATATGGACTCCACGTCGTTGTAATCTATTCAATCGACCTTTGATCGTTGGCAAGGAAATACCTCTAGTCGCATCTTGAACAATGTATGTTCTATAATTCAAATTGAAAGCATCAAGAGCCGTTGATGCTACACAATAATCTGTAGCCAATCCAACAATAAAAACTTGTGTAACATTTTGTTCTTTCAACTTCTTGTTTAATTCAGAATTCTTAATTCCTTGATTATGAACAAATGCTGAATAATTGTCAATATCGGGATCAGTGCCTTTTCTTATATGAATAACTCTATTTGACGATGAAATAACATCGAGATCCTTGTGTAATGCTGCATCTTCTGTTTCTTGTATGCAGTGTACAGGCCATAGAACTTGTTTTGTTTTATATTTCGGACCAAGATACTTTACTGTATCGAACACTTTTATTGTTCGATTTTGATTACCCGCTAAATACTGTCTACGAAAGTGAAGATTTTCGAAAAATGATATATGATTCGATGGATGCCAATCCTGTGTATAAACAATAACATCAAATGGAATGGTACGAATTAAATTATTTATAATAGGAATAACTTCAGCACCATCTTGACCAGCGGAAGCTTTTAATAATGAAAGATTTCCATTTATAAAACAATTTTGAACGTCAACAACAATCAATGCATTGACAGATTGTGCCGATTTTTTAACTAGAAAAGTATAAAATTAATATTACACAGTTTTATCTTCTCTTCCTACCTTTCGATGTTTCTGCTACTTTTGAAATGATTATTGTCTTTATTATTAGAATAGTAATAAACCAAAATAAAGATAGTCGATTCATATCGAAAAAAAGTTTCGTCTAGTAAAAAAACTTGAAAATTTTGTGAATTATCAATGAAGATCGAAAAAACGAAACGAAACATTTCTCATTAAACTGATACCTTGATGTAGATGCGTCATATATCACATTTTTTACACCGATCAAACAAGAAGAAAATAAAATACCAAAATGCAGACATCTTTTAGTGTCATAGACGTATTTACAAGAAAGAAAAAGTACTAAATATGATTACATAGGACGAAATGAGAGAGAGTAGTTAAAGAGATACTACTCATTCAGTTTTTATAAGCTCTAGGCAAAATATACTCAATCAAAGAAGAAATTCGTTATTTTTATCACTACTTTTTAATGTCACTAGAGATCAAAATGAATGTTTCCAATATCAGTTCGATTCGGTTCATTTTGAGTATCTCTCAAAGTACGTCATTTGTATCTAAAATATCTTTTATTCAAAGTAACAATCAACTAAGAATTGAAATAAACGAAAAATGATAACAAATGACCGAACCTACAAATTTCATCCTACTTCCACCTTTCTACATTTTTAAAACAGCTTCACTCAATAGCTCTAAACTCGAACCTTCTAGATCTGCTCTGCATCAGTATAAACAATCTTTTTTCTTCAGAAAATTCGACACATAGTGAACTATGATTTATTATATTTTTCTCTTACATTTCTATGAGACAGGGTAATTATCAAATTTAAATGAACTTCTTTTGATAACTGTTTATTACGGATATATAATTAAAAATTCCATTTCTACCGAAGAAATTGTGACTGAACTTCTGTTCAAATCTAGATACAGAATTCGACTATACGCATATGTGCTCAGTACAAACAGATCCATATCGTGATTAATCACAGAGATGTAATCAGGATTTATAGACCAATGAGCAAACTTCTCTTATGCCGAGAAAAAAACCAATGGGCAATATGTATCTGTGCAGTACACATGAACATTTTCCCAGTTTTGTTTTGATCTTCTGATTTTTGCCGAATTCCAAATGTTTTTAGATGATGGCTTTAATAGAGGAATTAATTACGACTATAACTCATTAATATTATAGATCCGTATTGCACTACCTTCTTTTCTTTCTTAATCTTTTGTAGTTTCTGAGTTCTACAGCCTACTTTAATATATCAGTAGATTTTTGCGTTGTTGAACTTAAGAATGAATGTTAATTTTCTTTTTGTTTTTTTTTGAACGATTTTGTCAACATATTTTAGCTCACAAACATTTATTGAAGGAGATTTTGAACAAAGAAAAACTTGAAAATAATATGGGATTTATGTTCTATAGTCATTATTACTTTTCGTAAATAGAGTTTTGGACTTCATAAAAGAATCCGACCTTAGGTATCTTTTGCTAGTTTCTTTTGTATTAACTAACAACTGAAGGCTATATAACTGCGAACTAAGAAGATTGATCATAGTCGGATCAAATAAATACTCTCACTCACAAACCAATTAGTTTAAAACATGAACTGCCAGTAGCATATACAGACCGAGATGTTTATCATCGTTGGATGGAACATGACTATTTACATAAGGAGAAAAAAAATCACACATTTTCAAAAGTAATTTGATAGCAATTAAAATGTTTCGTTTATTACCCTTATAATTAAGAAAATATTGTCTTAGACTCCATAGAATTAGCTTTTTAATATGTTTGATATTGTTTTCTGCTTATGTAAATGGTCGTACTCCATCCAACCATGACGAAAAAAATTTCTTGAAACTCGATTATCTCGATCTGTGTACACTATTGACAGTTCATATTTTTAATTAGTTGGTTTAACAGCAAAAGCATCCATTTGATCCAATTATGATTAATCTCCTTCGCTTACAGCATACAATCTTTCATTCTAAGTTATATAATGTTTACATGGTCTTTCTTTATTATGAAATACTTTTGGAAATAAAGTATGAGTCGATAAACAAAAAAAAAACGTGAAACATTTTGTGCAAATATGTCAACATGTTACTCTTTCCGATTTCGAAGAAAAAAATCTGACTTTCAAGTTTTTCATTTGGCAATCCTGGTTAATATACCACAAGCGATTCTTTCCTTAATTATTCACAGAAAGAACAAGCAAAAAACAGTTACTATCTAATTCAAAAATAAATAAATCATTCTGAAAACATAAAATTACAATGGGCAAATCTCCAAATGAAATGGGCAATTGTTCATTTGTTCCTAACCTTAGCTACGCTGCTGATTAATCGTATTTCAGACAAAAATCATTCATTAAATCAAATTTTATTTAGAGATAGGTAGATTTTCTATGGAATTTTTTCATATAATCAACGAAATTAAAAAGACAAAGAATGGTTTAATTTCGATATGAATGTTACTATTGTGACATAAACGAGATTAAACTTCTCGTTCATATTCGTTTGTTTTAAAACATATCTTAGTGATAATAAATAATTTATTTTAGATACATTTTCAGATTATGTATTTTTTTCAATTAGAATCTTTTTCGTCTGAGATTCAGTTTTAGATGATTCTATTAACATCGGATTAATATAAAATTGTAAATTTCTCTTTTAGATTTTTAATTTATAAACAAAAAATAAATATGCAAAGTGTTTCTCGAAAAAAAAACCTAGACTGACATCGATTTTTACATATGAACATTTCATGTAATTTTTTTTCTAAGCTGTTTCTTCTAACTATGTAAAACTGTACGGCACATTATTTTTTTTTTCGTTTTTGTTATATATTGTGTTCGTCTACAATGATGTAAACATTTAATTTTTTAATAAAAATATTCCTTAATTTAAATCAATAATAGGTCCTGAATATGACAATGAAAATAAAGTCTACATACATAAAATCACATAAATTATCGATATAATGTTAGATAAAAATCGACTACGAAATTACGCTTAATCATCAGTTTTTTAACGATTTCAAGTACGTGAGAAGGATATAGCAAATCAACAATATCTTACCTTAGATTGCTGTTTGACTATTTAATAGTTATAAAAAGAGAATGACTTTATATATATCGTATGAAAGAAAAAACAAACACAAATACTATTATAAACATTAATTGCTAATGTTTATATATATCAAATCAGCGAGCCATATCGATTCTTTTCCTTCTCTCTTATTGTCTTTCTTTCTCTTGCATTATTATTCATTTTATTATTTTTTTTCCTTTGTTTGATTATAAATCGTCTATGCCAAGTACAAATATTACTTTTTTTTTCATGCTTGATTAGTGAGAAGAATTATATATACTATCTAGTTATTATTCATAGAAAAAAAAAACATTAGCACATGTGACCTTAAAACCATCACAATATATGTTAATTTCTAATTGAAATCTTTCTTCATTTATGAAAAAATAATATTCAAATTTTCTAACAAGTTATTTCAATTTATCAGTCAAACTTTTAGAATATAATAACTAATAAGAATTAGATCTTAGATACAAATTTGAATCAAAATAATAATAATAATCTAGAGAATTGATTTAAAAAATTAGATATCACTTATTTCTAAGTATTTTTCTTCTGAGTGTAGATTTAAAATTAAATTCTTTAAATATTTTTGAATTGTTCATTAATATAATACCATATCTTTTTATATAATTTGAATATTTGTATTCATTCTATCAATAGGATATAGTATAGATAAGAACCTGAACTGAATAGAATTCACAATTTATATAGTAATGATATTGTTTATCAGTTTGAAATTGATGACATTTATTCAAAATAATATCGTAATCATCTTTAATTCAAACAATAAATTTACAGTTGAAAATATCTAAATGATCTAGTGAAAATCCAATTAAATCTTGCCAACGATCACGATCAATTATATGTATTTAATAGTCAATAGACATTGTTAAGATTTTCAAATTTCGTATTTTATCAATTTATGAAACTTTTTAAGAGCAATAAGATAATAATATTGATGAATGAATCAAAAGCTTTCGTTTCTTTTTTTGCTTTTTATTTATAAAAACTTATGTTTTTCTTGTTTTTTTTTTCTAAATCATATATAATTAATGTACGTTGTTGTAAAATATAGCTGCAATCGATAATAATACCATTGTTGCTCACTAAAAAGTTTCATAAACTGATAAGATAAAAAAATCCATGTTTTAATTTATTTATAAATTCCGTATTTGTTTTAATAATAATTCAAGGATTTGAAAAACTAGTATTTGATTAGCCCACAACTAATTGTTTTCAATAAAAAGTATATATAGGGTGTAAAAAACCATTGTGTCCTCCTCTAGAACTTAAAGTATAAATGATATCACAAAGTATTTTATATCAAACTAATCCTCATCAAAAATATACAGACCTTCCCTCTTTACCTCAAAGTACAACAAGAAAAAAAACAAAATAAAAATGGGGTCGAAACTTATGAAACACCCTTTATTTTCATTAAAAAAATAATAATAGCGGATTCGTAATTTTCATCAAAAACTGAATCTATAGATTTGTTATTTGTATATTTTTGACAAAAAAAATTTTTTGAACTAAAATATCTCGATTTATATATCAACAGACGCAGTTTTTGACGGAGATAACGAATTTAATATTATTTTTGTTGAAAAATATAATAAAAAAAAGCAAAAATTGTAATATACAAGCCTGTTCGGGCATAAAAATGCCATAGATTTTATAGTATCGAGTCTATAAAAGAAGTATCACGCTCACACACCAGTTTAAATTACAAATGATAGAGTTTCCAATTTATTAGAAATATAAACTTCTCACAAGTGTACATTTATGAAAAAAGTTCAGAAATTTGTATGACCTTCTTCAACGGCTTTGAGTGTATCAAATCTTTTTCTCATTGAGTCAGTCCATAAAAATTTTTTGTTTCGAGTACATCTCAAGATTTTTTCTTCAAAAATATACAAATGACATGTATATAGATTTAGTTTTTGATGAAAATTACGAATATACTATTATGTTTTGTGAAAATATGTATATTATGAAGAATGAAAATCGTGACGTACGAGCGCATTTTGGCATTTCATTCAAGACATTTCAATAATTTCATAGGCAATAATTGATCTAATTACATTCCTAAATCCAGTTTTTGATAAGTATTAATTTTGTATAAAATACTTTGTGATATCATCTATACTTTAAGTTCTAGAGGAAGATGCAAGAGTGTGGGTATGAGTCCTATCTGCATTCACTCACAACTACACGCATACCCAAATTAGACATTGATTAGCGGTTTTCTAGGGTACCCATTACTTGAATCGAGTGAATAAGGTGTCTATTCGATTGAGCTCATTGAAATCTATCTGAAGAGTTAAGTTTCCTTGTTGACGAGCATTCCTAGCCGAATCGCGACATATTTTTCGGAGTTTTTGATATATATTTTTATATTGGAGAAGTGAGATGTGGACCTGATAGAGTTTATCAAGTTTTACTTGGAAAGAGCTAGGTGTCTCAGTTGAAGAGCACTTTATTGCGAATCCATTCAGAAAAATGTTGAATCCTGACGTCGGTATATTCTATTTTGAATAATATTGTTTAATATAATGGATTCAATAAGCTTTCTTTTTCATAAAAAATAAATGAGAACTTGTTAAAAGTTCTCTCTCAGAATAATTAAAATTTAGTATTTTTTGCCTAAATAAAAAGACCTATAAATAACTAAATGATAAATACACTCAATATTACCAGTCGGTTTTAATCAATCGGGCTGTTTTTTTGTTCTCAGTATTAGAATACTTTTCGAACTTTTTATTCACAAGAAAATCGGCAATGGATACGTTTTTGAATTGACACTATTGATCTCAATAAAGAAATACACAAATGGCCAAAAGTATCTCAACTGTTCTACACATTAGATGATATCAACAGTATGATATGAACTTTAACTTCTTACTATTCATTTGATGCATCATTGTTTTGTTCGACAAGTAGTACATCATATTGATACAGAACGATATTGTAACTGAAAATTAAGTTGAAGTGATATTGATGGAATGACCGATGTCACGGAAATTCATTCTAGTCGAATAATATTTTCTTGATTTATGGCGTTGGTCATAGTGAATATAGAGCTGTTCTTGATAAATTAAATAGATGACAGTATATTCATTCTTATCCTAGGTATATAATATGAGCTATTTGACGCTTATCTACATTCGGTTGTTAACACTGATCATAGTATTTCGTCTGATTTTATAGACGGCTACAAATGGGCATTGATAGAGCTTTTCGTCGCACGTTCCAACAAAAAAGGAACCCTACAAAACTAAAGTTGTCCTATAAATTAGTTGAGAAAATTGAAAATCAATTTTTATTTCGAATACAAATAAGTGGAATAAGATTATATCGAACAGGATGATTAGGTATCACAATATTCAATAATATTTGCCGATTCTTTCGCCACAATTCAGGATATGATAAGAATATAATGAATGGATAAAGTAATTGAACGATAAATGGCATTAAATAAATGTAGTTCACTTGTTGTTCGACAAGAAAATATGGTAACCAAAATACATTGATTACTAATACCATGTTTAACGGCATCCACAAAATAAGATAGAGAAGTGTTATCGATAATAATTGTAATGTCATCTTTCGATCACGTTGCCACTTGTAGACTTGTAATCTCATGGAGCGTTTTTTGCAAGAGAACTCGTATGAAGAGTGATAAAGATGCAACTGGTATGATTACAAATGGTAATCCAACATTGACAATTGCTTCAATAGCAGGAAGTGTTACATCCTTATAATAACATGGCCAAAGACAGAAACGTCGAGAATAATCGTATGTACTTTGACAAGGATAGAAAACAATGGCTCCAATGTAGAAAAACAATGAATAGAGTGGAATCAAAATCATCGGAACATAGTGGAAAACGAGTCGTTTTACTGGCGAATTAATGAGATATGTATGAAAAATAAGAATATGTCGTTCGATAGAAGCAAAAGCCATGATTAACAAATTACTAACATTGATACTATAAAAAGAAATATTAGCATAGGAACAGAATAAATCCTATGGTGGCCAACTATATGAACGACGCCAATAATTTTCAAGAATTCCCAAAACATTTATATTGAAAATAAGACTTATTACTAACAAAAGAAGAATAGTATGATTAGACAATGATTGACGCAAACGTGAATTGAATATTAAGTGATAGATGAAAAAGATTGCACAGAGACGCGAAGGTACCTGAACAATAATAAAGATCATCAATTTGAGTCATTGCTCATTTTCCATCGTTGAAGAGGATACCATGTCATCTGTAGAAGTATTCATCACAAAACTATTTTGATGTGCTGCTAATTGTGAAGAATTGTCAAGAAAAAAATATCCCTCTTCTAATGTGAAGATACAATTAGAGAGCATGATGAATTCGATGATTGGAAAAAATCATATTTGTTCTTTTTTTAATTCTTAATAAACGAGAAGTGCTAAACATTTGAAATGTTACAGATCAGAAAAGAATAAATTAGTGTTATTATGTTCTGAGTAGTTGTTCTGTTTTTCATCAAATATATTATTTTGATGATTATCTGCACAAACTAACGAGGATGGATTTCTTATTACTTCTTACCGTGAAAACTCATCATTTTTTCGAGTATCACTATGCTCTGATTGACTCGATTGTGTCTTCGAAATAGAGAATATAATGACAAATTTTTGCCACTCACAGAAATACCAAAGATGATGGAAATATATGCTTCTTAGATAGATTCATTTTCATTTATCGTTTTTTTTCTGAGTGACATATTATATTAAGACTTCTCAAAATAAACAATAGGCTGTGGGTGTGGGAGCTGGTGAAGAAAAAACACACACTGACACCCACACCCCACACCCATACCCGACTCACACCCACACCCACACCCTCACCCATACCCAACCCTCAACAATCGATCATGTAATAACAAAATACTTACAAAACTAAAATTTTCTCTTCTCTTATTTCATTAATTATTATACGCTGTCTGAGAAAAACAAATAAATTACTTTTTCAAAAAAATAAGTCTTATATTATCTTAAATCATAACTAATTACCCTTTTTTCTTTCTAGATAAATTAAAATGATTAAAGTTTTAACCAAGTAACTGAACATCATCGAACATTCAATAAAATCTAGATTATAGTAGCTGTTCCCACTACAGCGATTGGATTTTATCAACATATATATCTTTGTATATATATGTCAGATATAATTTGGATTTGTGATTCCTGTAATCATTAAAGATTAGTTGCCATCTGATGATCTGCGCAGTTGCAGTGAAATCTAGATTATGATAGCTGTTCTCACCCTCACCCTCACCCTCTTGCTTCGACGTCCAAAAATTACATGAGAGCTTCATCCAAGAACGGTAAATATTGGCTGAAATACGATGAGTTTTGTTCTTCTCTCAGAGAAGAAGAAATGACAGCGTCACCATATTTTGGGTATTCTTGTTCTTTCCTTTCGAGAAGCAATACAACCGATTGGGATGAAAGTACATGAGTCTTTGCTTGATAGAATAACAAAAGAAGAGACGCGCACATGGCACTTTATCCATCCTACGAAGAGTCTCCTTTTTTATAGCACGAAGGGTGGATGATCAGATTTTATGGCACTACGTATGGTTCAGCGGCATCTTTGTGATAAACTGATGTTAATAAAATACCATTCTTATTTTGAATCAAAACATCAAGAAAAGAAATACTAGTTCCAATTCCATAAACTAATTTAATGTTTGGATGAGCTTGATTGAGATTGTTTTATTTTGTTTTTAATGCTGATAATGATCCATTCCATGTACATAATACATTATCAATATATCTATGACAGAAACAAATTGAGGAATTAAAATGGAAAACCAAAGATTTTGTCTTACCTGCCATAGAGTTCTTTAGATGATTGAAGATCGGCAACAAAATATTTTTCTCAATTCCACATAGATATATAATCAATTCTTCCTATTTGCAGCAGTCTTCCTGATAGATATGAGCAGAATCATGCCACTTCTAATCTCCTCAGAACTTAAAACTTGAACGAAGATCGAGATCAAAACCAAAATCAATGGTTCTGTTTACATCAACTAAGTATACAGAGAGGAAGATATTAGCGACTACATGAGCCTTATAGTAGCAAGGTATTTCTAACTTATAGGTAATCATAGAGAACTTTTTATGCTCTGTATTGAGAAAATATTTGCAAAATTTGAAACAAGATGTGACACTTTTTTCATCTAGGTAGAACCGAGGGTGGGATCAAAAAAATGGTCCCATTCATGTCTAACTCTTGCTCTTGCCAATATGCTTAGTTTTGTTACAATTCTGTTGTGCAATACTTGCTTCCTTTTTTTTATCTTTTTGCTTTCCTTGATGATGATGAAACAAATCCTTCTGTCATCACAAAAAAAGTAAAAGCAGCTCAAGTATATTTTCTTTTTCGTTGCCGCTCTTTGATTACTCATCAGAATTGCGTTGTTTCTTATTTATAGAAATTGGTAGGTTTTTTCATAGTGTATCATCAAGAAGAAAAAACAAAAAAAAAATAACTTGCATAGAAATGAGGCAAGTTGATCTCAAGAATTCGTTTGGTAATGTATATACGCTTCACTTACATACGCGGAATGTGCGAAAGTCACCGACTAAAAAAGAAAATTGTGTATCTCGATTATGATTCAGTTGAATGAATTGGTTTTTGTACTGGTGATAGAGATCACTTCCAAGTTTATCATTCATAAATATAGATCTTTCAAGTACTGATGAAAAGTAAGACTTTTGGATTCAATTCATACTACAATTCTTTTTTGAGTTGCAAAAACAATATATATGATTTTTTTTCTTAAATCTCTTCAATTTTGTTACATTATTATGAGCTTCCAATCATCCACTTCTATCTCTTCTGACTTTATAAACATTTGTTTGAAGTGTTTAACAACTAGGCACACTGATCTCAAATTCGGTGCCTGTAAAAATCCCAAAATTACGTCAATTTATTCAGTTACTTTCCATCAAAGTTTTATTTTTAAGGGATGAACAAATGGTTTTAAAGACAGGTACCAGTCACTCTACATTTTTCAGAAGTGTTAAAGAAATACTTATAAAGCAAAAAAAAATAGACTTGGATGATTGAAAGCTCATGATAATGA